AAAATGTAAACTGCCGGCCTCGGACATGCGCACTGCATTACCGGAGAACAACATGTTGTCGAAATTAAACATATGAACAAGATCGACTGAAAATTACAAACTACACGACTAAATGACGACTGACCAGGTAATCCTTATAGATGCGACTAAACTATGATATATGTAAATGTTTAATTACTGCGATTCTCATTGACAACTATTATAAAGTACGTTATTATTGGAAACTAAAATGCTAGACGCACGTCTAAAATCGCCATGTGTCGGTAGTACTAAAGTCCGATTTAACAGAACGAGCCAACGATGCTGGGGAACACAATAACAATTAAAGATGGTCCTGAATATAAACAACGTTAACATAGTGGCGTTACACTTCAGACGAATATAAGCAACTTTAGCAAACATGTATCATAATAAACTGTATATACGCTGAGTACTGTTTCCTACTTTCCTGATACTGATTGGTGGAATTTCAAGTTTATGGATATTTCTATGTTTTTTTTTCTTCTGAACTTTCTGTAAGAGTGTTTTTTTTTTAGAAAACTGATGCAAGTGTTGTCTTTCAACGTTTGATTTCTCTGACTTAGGAAAAGGGGTACGACTAGTACATGTAGGTCTACCGCGGATCAGGCTCGCGCCACAACTCATTGTTGACAAAACTTGTGCTTAATCCCGTGTACAATTCATTTAACATTAAACTAAGCTCTGTTTTATGGAATTTAACTCTCTATGTAACAAATAATGTGCAAAGAAAAATTAATCGTAGATTGAAACACATATGAAAACAAGTTTTCATAAAAAACGTATATATATATAGTACATATATGCAGAACAAATCTAACAGAAAATTACAAGGTTTATACGAAATGGGACGTGCCACTGTTCTACACAACAATGTCCTCTTCGTATTCTGTTGTACTTGTTTTCCTTACAAGGCTCATGTTGAATATAACAGACAGAAACTGACGAAATTCTGGAAGTGTAACCGGTTTCCAGTCCTTCATCCGTGCACATCTTGACAAAACATATGTATGCATTTTGCATAATTCTGTGGAAAATGTGTAGAATCACCTTTTTCCAGACTTTCTTGGTTTTGCGCTGGACACCATATGCACTCAATAAGCCATCATTCATGTCAATGGCACCCATATCACGGTTATACGCATTGACCATTCTAGGACGCCCACACGCAAGGTCCTGTGCTGGCAGTAGAGCACCGGCTTTTTGCCCTCTACATCACGAGATGTCAGACACAGGAAGTTGCCCTGTCTCATGTATACAGCGGCCACTGGCTGCGGATCCGCATTCCGTATAGTCAGGGGCATCGGTCTGTTTTTCCGTAGCGTACCTTCAATAAATGAAATATAAATATTCTTAATATAGCAGTATCATAAAAGAAAAACATTAAGTTGATTTTACTAAAAAGTGAGTGTCAACTCGGAGATGAAGCTCTCATTTGTTGACTGCATGCCGATAACGTAACAGTATCAATCTTTTTTTTATGCTTGTAAATCGCAAAGAAGCTCCGGAAAAAAGTTACAAAAAGAAAAACGCTCCTCTAGTTACAGGTAGTGCTTGTGTTCAAATTTTATAAAACCTTAGTAGTTTTAATTAATTTTCAAAATTCAAAACTAAGTGAGTTATATAGAGCACTATAACTGGATATACATATTGACCCCTACCCGTCCATAGGTATGGTGCTGCAGCAGCATTCTTCCAAGATGCATCGAAGTGAAAAAACTGTCAGCAAACACATGGTAACCACGGTCAAGCAGGGACGCCTCGCTCAGTAGGTTGTATACAACGTTACTGCCCTGTAGCTCCCTCCGCGGAGTTGGGTCGAATTTTCGGCCTCTGTATATGGCCATTTGAAGAACGTACCCTGACGCTGACTCACAGAGTATCCAAAACTTAACTCCGTACTTCGCGGCCTTGGAGGGGATGTACTGGCGCATCACACTATGGCCTTTTGTGCTCACCGAGGATTCATCAACACACAATTCCCTCCTCGGTAAGATGAAGCGCAGGAACTGTCTGTTGGCGAAGTTAAGTAGAGGACGAAATCTGGCGGCAGGGTCGTAGGCAGGATGCTTAATTAAAAATAAAATAAAAACCAGTAAATCTTTCTGAATATCTTTTACTCGAGAGACGTTGTTTTTGTTAATTAATATTTACAACAGCAGGATGTATTTCTACAGCGACGTGACGTTACGTCATTTTATCTAGCACTTCTATCGGTAATATTTGTATATTCATCTGTTTCTTATAATTCTTACCGCGATGAGTGGCCAAATACATTTTTTTCTTGTTAGATGAAAAGTGATATCTCAATGACAGTGACACGGATAATAATATAATCAATTTAATTATCATAAACTTGTCCGTGATATGGGATGTTTTGCATGTGTGATACTGCTTATTGACTGTGCATAGTCGATATCGCGGACTGACCATTCCGACCGGTATGCGCCATATCCGCCCGGCATGCGCCATATTTATCCGTTATGCGCCTTATCGACCCGACATCCGGCATATTTACCCTGTACGCGTCTTATCGACCCGACATGCGCCATATCCGTTAGACTTCCAGCCCAATACTTTTCAGGAATATCATTAGACAGTGGGTGAAACAAACTAGTAGTGTACACACTGCGCATCCATCTGTTTTTGTTACGCTGTTCATTGCATTTTATTTCAGAGTATAGAATGTGATGATATTAAAAATTGAATATAAATCTGCAGTGCGTTCTAGAAATGAAGAAACAAGTTTTATCAAGATATATCAATTAATTTTGTATGCCGAGATGGTATGAAAGTGTGACTATTTTGTTCAAAGAGGAGCGCATGAAGGGCATTTTATTCGAGTTATACATGTACAGTAAGCTCATGACTTCTTCTTCAATTAAGAGAGTAGGGTATACATGTGTTATAAGTACTGTGCTGCACTGAAAGCGCACACATACGCACGCGGACCTATTCACATTGAGTAAACATTCTTTGTATGAAACAGATAACAATGTGTACCGATGCATAGTCTATAATTTACCTAGACGACACTGTACTAACCTATCTTCCAACCATGCGCCGGAAATCTGCGATATGTAGGAATTTCAAAATATTTTAAAATCTTTTTTTGGCCATCGTGTGTGGAAACCAAGATGAACGTTGACTTGGTAGTCTTGAATTCCAGTATTCGGGAATTGAAGGCTTTCTTACAATGGACATGTTTGTAAAATATTGAAAGAAATGCTTTCAATACGACAAGATAATTGTTTTCCAGGAACGCGCCCTTGCATTATGTCCCAAATTGTTCTGGTTTGTCTACAGATGGTGGTGTGCATACCTAAAATGTCAAAGATACTTCAGTAACTTGTCTAACACCTAACATCCAGGGAAGACAACATCATGCAATAGCTTTCAATAAAACAGATATACCGATAGGTTTTTCAGGGGTCATACACATGTATCAGGTAATAGCGAAACTATTGATAAATGATAAAATGTAAAATATAAAAATAAAAGAATATTTTAAACAAGAAAGGCTTTCAGTCATTTTCAATGGCTTTTTCAAGACATATATATAATTCAAGGGTTTTTCAAGACCTGTGCGACCACTGTTTTTAAAACAGAATTGGGTACCTAAACTAAAACTATTTCATGATTTATGAAGAATGAACAGTTTATGTAAACTATTACCTGTTGGTGTGCCGAACTATTTCCTTCATCAGTGTCTCGGGAAAAAGAATCATGAAATATGAAAATGGCCGAGAATCCCCGGGTGGCATATGAAGAGGCCTAGGAGCTTCTTAAAAGCAAGGACCCCTGTCGGATTCAGGTGGAAACATCCGCATCCATGGAACGGCCATTACTACAGGTGCTTTCCAAACAATAAGGACGTCACTTTGACTAAAGATGACGTCAAAATTACGTACCTTTTACATCATCATTTTTCGCGTTGAAATACGTCATGTAACCCAACGTCATAACTTTGTATGGCAATCAAGATGAGGTGGCATATGATATAGAAACATTCAACAAAATAAACAACAAACTCTATTTATATAGAATCGGCCCCATCGGCCCCCTGGCACTCTGAGACCTTTGTAATCGGCCCCATCGGCCCCCTGACACTCTGAGACCTATGTAATCGGCCCCATCGGCCCCCTGGCACTCTGAGACCTATGTAATCGGCCCCATCGGCCCCCTGGCACTCTGAGACCTTTGTAATCGGCTCCATCGGCCCCCTGACACTCCGATACCTATGTAATCGGCCCCATCGGCCCCCTGGCACTCCGATACCTATGTAATCGGCCCCATCGGCCCCCTGGCACTGAAATTATGCATAGAGGCGAACTGAGTCCATTGCACAAATTGCCTTAAGAGGTTTTTTTTTATATTATATATGTAACATAATATATTTAGTTGTTATTGAAAGAGAAATATTTTCAAATACATTTCGTATTACTTCAGTTCGTGTTTTGATGTGATTAGTCGACGAGTCTCGTAAAATGAAGCAAGAATTGTTTAAATTAGAAAGATATTTCGTTCATAGTATCTAACACAACAAATCAGGTAGAATGGTTTGAAGAACATTCAACAGCAATTATATATATATATATATAAATATATCTATTGTAAAAAGAAAAATTCTTATCAACGAGTCTTTAGTTCTTTCATCTCTTCTAGGAGATTCTTCAGACTGTTTATTTGAAGTATATGTTGTGACGTCATAAACTATGACGTCACATAATAGTTCGCTTTAACGACGTCCGACATATACGTACCCGCCATAACGATATCACAGCAATATACATGTACATATATTAATCATAGTCTTAAGGTTGCTCCACACTTTCGCAATTAACCAGCAAAATTCGTTGAAACTTTCATATAATGGTTATACAACTAGGTAGAGTTAATTTTTGAAAATCTAAACATTCCGATAATTTTGGGACTTTTTTGGAAAAAATACCAAAAATTTGAAATTTTGTCACTTTAATATTTTCCGGGTATTTTTGTGTGTGGCATTGTTCGGAACAATAGCAACAATAAAAAAATGAAAAGAAGCATTTATAATTAACCCTACAAATATTTTATTTATCGCAAAATATGTAACACATATTACACAAAGTGTTTTTTTTTATTGAATTTGAACGGATAAAAGTGATTTTCTACAAGCTAAAAGCAAACAGGACACAAAGATCTATACATATAGAATGGGAAATTGAACAAAATATACACAATGGCTTTATAATTAGTTTATTTTACATTTTACAATCACTTTGATCCGGGTGGGAGTTGTCTTCCATGAAAAAATTCGGAACTTTTTGCAGAAGGATGACATTGACACAATAACAGTTGTCTCTGTTTACATATAACAAAAATGATGGAAATAAATCAAAAATATGATATCAAAATTATCAATTTATTGTTCTTTAATGGAACCAAATTACCCTCAGTCATGTACACTTTGGACATCATTCCACAGTCCGCTAACTCACGGTATATTTATAATTACATGTCAGGTACATATGTGACCAGAGGCTATCGCATGGTATGCCGTTCTCACGTGCCCTCACACATGCATTTCATAG